TTATACTATATAAGACTTATCGGGATTTTAGCAATTTTAATGAGGTTCAGTTTTATGACCATTTGCGTTCTATACCATGGAAAAACATATATGATATTGATAGTATTGATAGTAAGGTTCAATTTATTAATGAAAATATAACTTCACTTTTTAATTTGCACGCACCTTTTAAAAATGCAAGAATAACAAAACGAGCTTCTCCTTGGTTAAATAATAGTTTAAAGCTCATGATGAGTACCAGAGATAGAGCTTTGAATAAATATAAAAAAACGGGACAGCCAGAGCACTGGGTTTTTTATAAGAGTGTCCGCAATGCAGTTAACATAGCGATCAGAAGGGAAAAAAAAGCTTATTATGAAAGTAAGTTTAGGGCAAATGATTCTAAAACACTGTGGTATAATTTAAGGCAGCTAAACTATACTAAAAAATGCAAGGATGACTCCCGTGTACTCCCTTCGCACTTAGCAGATCCAGATGAGATTAACAACTTCTTTATAAATAATATTCCCACTTCAACTATTAACAGCTCTGAATTAATCCAGTATTATAATAATAATGTTAGAAGCACAGTCGGATCTAGTTTAACGTTTCGTAGAATTGAAGAAATGGAAGTGCTTAAGTACATTTCCACAATAAAATCCAACGCTGTAGGACATGATGGCATTGCCATAAGCATGATTAAACGCTGTTTGCCTTTTTTGTTACCATTCTTGACACATGTTTTGAATTGTTGCTTCGCAAGATCTGAATTTCCTGCCACATGGAAAATTTCACACGTTATGCCTCTGTCTAAAGTAAATGTACCTAGCGAATTTAAAGATTTAAGACTTATTAGCATTTTGCCCGTTATGTCAAAAGTCGTGGAAAAAGCCATCGAATCCCAACTCAGAAGCTACCTCATGCTAAACAATATTTTACCTGAACATCAATCTGGATTTAGATCGAAACATAGCTGTACCACAGCTTTGCTTAAAGTAACAGACGATGTATTACATGCAAGAGACGCTGGAAAGGTTACCCTACTAATATTATTAGATTACTCTAAAGCGTTCGATACGATCTCGCATGAGGTTTTGCTGGCTATACTACATTATATTGGGGCTTCGCAATCTGGGATTTCACTAATTAATAGTTATCTGAATAATCGTCAGCAATCAGTATTTTGCAATGGTCAGGCATCAAAGTACTTAAATATTAAAAGAGGGGTCCCTCAGGGATCCATATTAGGGCCTTTACTGTATTTAATTTACACACATGCTATCCCTTCTGTTCTAAAAGATTGCCAATATCACCTATATGCTGACGATACTCAGATATATTTTTCGTTTTTTCCAAGAGACATAGTGAAGGCGTGTGAAACTGTAAATAGTGACCTACAAAACATTTTTGAAACATCTACAAACCATTGCCTCAACATAAACATGAGAAAATCAGTTGTTATGTTATTTGCAAATTCTAGTGATTTGGAGATTTTGTCTGCTCAAACGAATATATATGTAGGTGGTCATAAACTAGTAATTCAAAGATCTGCTAAGAATCTCGGTGTAATCATAGATAGTGAACTGCGATTCACTCAGCAAATATCAAAAAACATCCAACGGGGTTATGCTGCTTTAAAAGCTATTTATATTAATCGCGATATTTTAAATATAAAGACTAAAGTGGTACTGTGCGAATCTTTGGTCCTGTCGAGCTTAGATTATTGTGATGTTGTGTATGGTCCGTCATTAAAAAGCATAGAAATAAAAAAATTCAAATCTTGCAAAATGCTTGTTTAAGATTAATTTTTGGAATCAGGAAATACAGTCACATTTCGCATACGTTGGAAACGGTGAAATGGTTAAGCATGAATGATCGCAGGATATTCCATGCTGCTTGTTTGTATCACAAAATTATAAAAGATGCTTGTCCAGCATACTTATATAAAAAAATAACTTTCAGGACAGATGTACATCATCTGAATTTACGTTACAGAGGAATATTAACTTCTCCGTCGCACAAACATGAATTTTTCAAGAGATCCTTTAGTTACCAAATTGCACATCTGTATAACAAGATACCATCTGATTTTAAAACATTAAGCCAAGTTAATTTTAAAAAAAAGGCTGAGAATGCATTTCTTATATAAAAATTAATTTTTATACACTTAATTGCTCCCTTCAGTTGAATCTTTGCTTGTTTTCGTGTCCCATTAATTCCAATAATATACCTACCTATATATGTATATAAATAATTATGTACCTTAGTGTTCACTGGAGATATTCTTTCTTTAATTTTTTACATGTTTATGTTTTATCTGTGGCCATATCAATATTAATTTCATTGCTGAACCTCGCCCATTCCTAGTGAATAAAGGCATTTATTATTATTATTATTACTAGACGTCACTCATGTTCGATCGCTCGTTACTTAACAGCTGGATCTCTGATTAATCAGAAATGTGAACTTTACTTGGAGATAAACGTAACTGTCACTATTACTAACAAATCGAAGCGAAACGGGCATATTTGTTTAGTTGTCCGCTAATTACTTACCTCCTAACCAGCTCACAAACAGCAAGAACTTGTGCATCTTCAATAACTTCATTCTGTTAATGAAACTGATTTCCTATCGACATTCTCCAAAAAATTGGAAAGGGATGATGTGGAGGCAATACGTTTCGTAAGTTGACCTTACTTTTAAATTCCGTGTTTATTGAAGTTGCTACGGGGTTCCTTCTGGATTTGAAGATTACCATCGGTTCCGCCCGGCAAGGCAAACGTCTTCTTCTTCAACTCCTACTCCTCCCTTTCCTTCCCCTCGTTCTTCGTTAAAGACATAGGCACATTGGAACCAAATAGATAATATATTGAAATGATATTAGAGATACAAACAATTTACAGGAATCTAGCAGTTCTTCTCTCCTCCTGGTAAAAACCACTAGCTTAACAATGACAACTAAACTAAATAAAAAATCCTATCAGGTGAAACTAATTTACTCAAGGGGTGGCCATCCTCTACAGTTTGAAAATTGCAACAACAGGTAATCGTTTTTTAATCCAGCGTGGACTGAGACTTATTTAAATAAACACAAAAATTTATCCTACTCTTTGGTAATCGTTCATTGGACTTTAATAAACAATCAAATCAAAATTTTTTTTACTATAGCTTAATTACCAAAAAGTGGAATTTTACAGAATGTTACAAATTTAATTAGACTAACCTTTACAACATTTGTACAGCCGATCTTGTGAACTGCTCTTTCCTCTGGTACAGGGTGGATGTGATGAAACCTGGCACTTAGGTCTCTGTGACTTCCTAGGGGGTGGCTTGAATTTAACACACGGAAACAAAAATCCACGGTGCCTATCCTTCCTCGGAACGAAAGCAAAGTTTAGCGTTTGAACTGAAACTTAGTCCAGGAAATCCTTCGCGTGGCGAGTGGGAGACGGCTAGTTGCCAAAGTTTCTACACAGCACGTGTAGTTAATTTTATTTTATTAGTTTATTAGCTTTGACCGCCTGCGGGAGACGGATTTTTGAGTTAGCGGTACGGCAGAACACAAACTTTTATGATCACTATCCGACGGTAAACCGCGATGGTTCGACGTATTATTTCACCAGCTCTTCTTGGGGCAAATATCTCTCCGAAACGCAGCGCTCCTTCGACAAATGACCGTACGGCACTAGTAGGAAATTCCACCTGGGGCGGATCCCGAAATTCTGCGCCTTGAGGACTAGGGCAGCACTTTGACTTATATATCCTCGAGAAATCACAACGTATCCTAACGCGATTCACTGCATCCAAAGTAAACTGGGGTGAAGCTCAAGGGTTCGCCAAAATATCACCTGATTGGAACCTGGGTCTTCTTCGCCAAAAAATCAACGCGAAAAGAAAATAACACTTCGAAACGGGTGCAAAAAGCACGCAACTGCGAGCAACCGAAATAAGCCGGTGGCTCAAACCGCCAAGTGTACCAAAACGATCGCTCAAGGTACGTGTTGACCGCTTGACGTACTAACTGCGAGTCTCCTCAAAACGCGATCACTCAAAGTACGTGTTGACCCCTCGACGTACTAACCGCGAGTCTCTCCAAAAACGATCCCCTTCTTCAGAATTGAAATGAAAAAACCACACCCAAATTACCATAAAACAAAAATGGCTCCCGCTAGAAATTCTCCCATTGGTTTAGATAAAGAAGACTTAACCCACTCTAACTTCGTCGTCAACCTCCAGGAACTGCTGAATAAACTGATCTCACGGTTTTCTGCTGACGACGTGAAAACTCCTTATCTCTTGATGGCTCGGTGCTATATCCGCTCCTATTCTCGGTCTAGACGGCGCCAAAGTTGATAAACGAACGACAAAAAACTCGCATTACTCATGATGACGTCAATCAGCTTTGCACTCTTCCCACGACGAAATTAAATCTGAGCGAAATTAAATCTATCGGACCATAGTCTTGAGCGAACCGAAATGCCCAAACACAAAATTTCTAACCGGAACAAATAATGAAATATACAGGGTGACCTTCACTATCATGACAAGAAATTTCGAAATTTTTAATGAAATTTGGCGCGAAATCAAACCACTCGTTACAAAGTGTGATATCAAAATAAAAGTGTTATTACTCTGTCCAAAATACCAATCCTATTTGTACACCTACGATATCCGGACTTACTAAAATCATCCCCAATCCCAGTCAGAAATACTTGTAATTTACCTGTGTCTTCGCTCAGTGCATTGTCGAAATGGTAATTACACTATTAGTAAACACCCAGTTGAGGATTTAATCAAACGTTGGTATCTATATAAGTTTTATCGTACTCGTAAGTACTTACCATGTAGTCAAATTTTCTCATTTGGTAACTGCTCGTGCAAATCAATGAGTAGGTACGTATTGGGAGGCGTTTAAAGTGATTGAAAACCCTCACCCTGACCTCACGAGCTTTCAAGCATAGAATTGCATAGCATTTTATTAAGAAAAGTAATTTGTATTACAATAAGAATGAATGTTAAACAAACTATTATAAAAATAATGGCACATACCCTCACGTGAACAGAGTATGCGAATGGCATGACAGTGAAAAGAAAGTAAAAACGATACGTTTTTCCAAGTTCCCCTAACCACCATATGGAAATTCTTCTGCGGTTAAGGCATTCCCTTTAAGCCACCGTACTTTAATATAATCACTACCTTTTTCCCCTATCATTATAGTAGGTGCATTGGTATTACCCCTGGGAATCTTTGGCATTATGGAAGCATCAATAACACGTAAATTTTTAATGCCCCTCACTTTCAGTCTAGGATCGACAACAGACGTTTTATCATTCTTGTGACCCATTTTACACGTTCCAACCGGATGAAAAATTGTAGTTGTATATGACATCGCGACGCAACTCCAATACGCGTCGCTGGGGAATTTAAATTTACGGCACGCAGGCAGTGGAGTGTTTACTAGTTGTATATGTAATTTCTTAAATGTTTTCGTATGCAAGAGGTTCAGACTTTGTTTAACTCCTTCGACAATTCTTAATAAATCTACTTCTTCTTTAAATGTGTTCGCATGTATTAAGGGTGGGCCGAATATTGGATCCGTACTGTTGAGCTCAATGTATCCGCGACTTTGTGGCGATAACAATATAGGACGTACCATTAACCCATCGTAATAGGCCAAAGGAACTACATTTGTTTGTGCAGTTAAAATGGGGTCGCTAAAAAAGTTTTTGATGTTAGTTGCGTCGAAGGAATACTGTATGTCGGGCTTATTGGAACTTTTTTCATATTTAGTTTGTACCATAGCGCTTATTTGCAGTGGCCCTGTTCCAGATAATGAGCCTCTCCGCGTCTTTTTATAGTAGTAGACATCAGAAGTCATCTTTTTATCGTCCACTATCGTGGCACTGTGATTTGTAAGCGCAAATGCTACGCCATCTATCGTGGTGTGATCCTGTAAATTTTCTCCAACTGGTAGGTCTTGAATAATTTCAATTTTATGACGAAGTAGACGAGCCGAAGGCCCAATTCCGCTAAGCATAAGAATCTTGGGGCTATTAATCGCTCCTGCTGAGAGTATAACTTCCTTTTTGGCAAACGCTCTTTGCACATATCCATTGGAGTAGTATTCAACACCGAAAGCTTTTTTAGTTTTATGATCTATAAGCACTCGGGCCACATGCGCATTAGTGGTGACGACGAGATTCTCTCGTTTTTTTCGGATTGGTCGTATAAATGCACCATTAGTACTGTGTCTTTCCCCATCCTTTACAGTGGCTTGAACCAGGGAGACCCCGATTACATCCTCGGAATTTTGGTCTACTTCATCCAACCCCAACTCTTTAAACGCATCAATGATGTGAATCACATTCTCATCTTGATATGGAAACACCTCCACGCTTTGATAGCCCTTAGTTCCGTGGTAAAACAGGTCCACGTGACCCTTGTTTTTGTTATGCTCGGATTTGAGGAAGTAAGGCAAGACATCTCGGTAGCTCCATCCGTGGTTGCCCATGGCCTCCCACTCGTCGTAGTCCTCGGGATGGCCACGTATGTAGATCATGTAGTTGATCGTTGATGAACCTCCCATTACCTTTCCGCGAGCCCAATAACATTGTCCTTGCGGTCGGGCCAGGCAACTGTGCGGTGATGGCTGGGTGAGATAAGCCCAATCGATACTCGATCTTTGAAGTAGTGGCGCGAAAGATGGAACCTCTGCTACTTCCGGTTCTTCACTGCCTGCTTCTAAGAGCAAAACCTGAAATTAATTCACGTAATTAACAGGTGTGACAAAATTGCCCTTTATAAAGCAAACAAAGCAATCCCATTATTTACAAGATTTGCTTTATGCTAATACCCAACAACTTTTATACAGGGTCCGCCAGTAAAACGGGAAGATTTAAGGGCTTGCATCACGCCGCGAAGTGGTAACCTTGCTTAAGGATTGTAGAAGGAAAATTTGTATTCCCTTATTGAGGATCATTTTAAAGAATACTTTGTGATCATTATTCTCTGGCCTTCCTGATATACAGGTTGTTACGTATAAATATGTCAAAAAATTGGGAGGTAGAGGGGACCAAAACAAGCAATTTTTCCAAATAAACCGAGGGTCCAACGCGTTTTGTTTATGAGCCACCCTCAAAAGGTGGTTAAGTTTGAATTACTTCTAGTTTTTTCTCATCAGCAACCGTATAAGCTACAAAGACTGGTGGCACGTCTTTGAATAGGTTTTTGGAATGTAAACTCATACAAAAATGTTTAAGGAATTCAAAGGGCGCGTGACACCCAGCAGTGTTGGAGACTAGGATATTTGTAGGTTTTTGGTATTTTTTCAACCGCTCATCCGAAATTTGAGGGGGATATACGATTCCAGTCACAAATACCGAGTTCATACCAATGCCGAGCGAGCCGAATTGTTCTTTTGTACTGTCTATAGAAATATTTTCTACTTTCTATTCATTACTGTCTCTGGAATTGCGGAAGACAACTAATTACCATTGTAATATATCTAATTTTACTATAAAATAATTTTAATACAAAAATAATACCTAATATATAACAAATGGTTTCCAAACGTTGCAAATTGAAGGTGAAATATACGAGTCAACATTTAAACTCAAAAGTAATTTATAAAAAGGGTCAGAAAAAAATTAGGTAAATATAATTCCGCAGGAATAACGAAATAACGATAAACAAGGTGCATTTAAACGTGAATCTCACGAACTACGACGTAATTAAAATATTACATTTGAATCTGAATTCAGACGGGCGCTTTGTGCTAATAATCTGCAATCAGATAAAGCAACAAAAGAGTGATAGCGCGGCATATAAAGTGGGAGAAAAATCTAACGTTTTCCACGGCCGTCAGATCGAGCAATACTGAAATTGTAATCAACACTTAACAGAAAGCAATAGAATAGTTCAATTTACGTTAGATAGCAAAAGCAAAGTTTTCAAAGGGTCTAGCAGTTCAAATTCTTCGTAGATCGGTGTTTTACAAAAGGATGTCGATGTAGATAGCCATATTCAGCATGACAACCAGTACCAGGAAGAAAAGGGAATGAGGATAGAAGAAAAAGTATCTAAGAGAAAATACGTGTTGAAATAATGGCGAGTCATACAGCCAATACAAATCCTTTTTCAAGTAAACATAAGTCAAGTAAAGTAAAGGAGCAACGCCCACGCGAAGAAATAAGGAAGGTCAAAAATACAAAAATACAGAAAGGTACATTCGGATGACATCTAGCAGGTGAATACGAAACACTAAGGAATGAAAACTTTACCAACTACAGCCAAGTTTGTAACGTTTTCTTTTCTCATTCCCTTAGTTCATTATTTATGTTATTATTGATTTCTTATTACAATAGTTCTTGTTTTGCCGTCAGAGGTCGTCCAGAGTTCTCTTTAATTCTTTTCGGCGCACGCACTTCTTTGTATAAAACCATACAACCAACACCACTATAGTTGTTACTTAACATTTTGGTCTGCATTTTGGGGTTTATTGCGGCTGTATAAGTGTAATCAAACTTCTCTTATTATTTTGCTTTTGACATTTACGTTGACGATATTTGCGGATATATTTCACAAGTTCTAAGGCCGGTTTCGGTATGCACAAAAAATTACGCATTACCTTTTGGCTTTAACTAATCGTTTTAGGATTCTTACTTCTGGCTTACTTATTTGTTTATGTAACATAATTTATTAGGTATACCCTTAACTTGAGCGATTTCGCTGTTATACCCTTTCTTCCTCAAAATTTGAATGTTTTTCGAATTTTTTTAGAGAGAAACTAAATCGCATCGGGGGTTTAATTTTGAATTGAGCCATAGGCTAAGACCTCTTTTACTTTCACATAATTTTTTTTGGTACTTTATCGAAAAAATAAAACGTATAATTGACCTTCGCCAAATGTTATGTTTTTTTTTATAATTTCAAATGGCACCAGCTTAGACAAATTATAGTTCTGAATAGCTGAAACTACAAAATTTGCACTGATACCAAAAACCACTCATTCCATGAGAAAATTTCAAAGAATAAAGGCGAAATGGCAGTTTGCGGTCACTCCACCTCTCACCCTTGAATCCAACTTACTATGGACGGACAATGGATGAAGAACAGTAACAAAGGGTTGATTCAAGTGAGAATTCCCTTTCATTCGCAATTTAATGAGTGGTGTTTTTCGACACCGTGAACTTTGACCTTCGGTATTTAAAGTGACAGGGGTGCGCTTCTGATACCCCAGGTGTTATGGTACTAGAATCACTTGTATAATCATGGGTGTATCTTAATTAAAGATCCCAGTCTCATTTGGTGACCGAATTAAAATAATTTTTTGAAACTACTTCGGGATCATGTCCAATTTTTTTAGTAAAATCATTATTTATTCACAAATTTCTCCATGGAAATGGCATAACATGTTATACTGATGAACAGAATCCTGCCGTTCTCTTCAGACATTAGCCAATTTCTTCTAAGAAATAGCAAAATACAGTGCTTCGATGGATAGAATCGACATGTTAATTACGTTAGTTAACCTTCGAATTCGGACACAAATTAATTATTAATGAATAATTTTTTTATTCAAGGCCTCAGTTAGAGGCATGGCATGGAATGCATTTAAATGGTTCATATACTTTGGTACATGATTTTTATTCCCCTAAATGATCTCATTTTGTTTTCTAATTTATTGCATTTGCGCACATGCAAATAAAAATTGGATTGTTAACATTGATATTATGTCAGACATATGGTATAAATTGCTAAATTAAGGGAAATAGTGCGTGAAACGCGACCTTTACATTGTTCGTTTGTAAGGCTATGCTACGTAAGGCAGTTTTCGTAACAGCAATCGATTACAATGTATTGCATCTAATAATCCACTTTCAATTGCTTTTTATCTGTGAAATATCATGCACACACAATTGAATTCCCAATAAATTTACGTTCAGTCATGCAATACAAAGTTAGTTTGGTAGACGTTTTTAAAGTACGAGATCGTGCCAGGCGAATAATGTAACTGATAAATTTATTCAGTCCGCAGTATAAGAATAACAAATCATTCTACTTCTACACTCGAACGGGTTTACCTACCGTTGTCTCTTACTTAATTTCTTTATAAAATGGTAAAATCAATTTTTGCGGTTACGCTTGATACAAGACGAGGCACCTCTTTCTCGTTCTAATGAGACCACGAAGTTTACTTTCTACACGAAAAACTGCTTCCCTGAACCTACTGCAAAAGGACTTTTTTCCCCTTATACTGCAAGGTATGAGTTAAAACGCAACAAAGATGTTATAAATCTGTCTTGAGCAAATAAGCTAAATAAGGCACTTACTCGCCATTCCGGCACTTCTGATAAACGGTTCGCAACAACACATCCAGCACTTCCAGCACCGACCACTATAAAATCGTATTCCTTATCTTTCCTTCTCTTTTCCAACTTTTCTGGCGTTTCATGGTATTCGCTGCCAAAATCGCTGTCGAAAATAAATCGCGAAAATTCGTAATAATTATCACTTTTCGTGGACGAGTCACGTGACTTTCCAAATAGGCTAACTACTAAATTGAGAAAAATCAAACTGGAGGGTGCACACGTCGTAACTGTTGTATGAACGCGACATACTTCCGATAAATCTGGTGGCGTCCAAGACATTCTAACACTAAGTACGCGAAATATAATTTAGACTGGGCAAGTAAGAGTAATTATTGCACGTTCAGCATTTGAAAGTTGACCGAATTTAAGAAACAACCCTCCCAATTTCAATATGCCAGCATTCATTTACGCTAAATTTGAATGAACAATACAAGTGTATCATAACTTATGATTATTACCAGTAATTTGTATTTATACTTATTTACTCTTATGTAATTCGGATGCTGTCTCATTCATACTAGGTATGTAGAGTATACAAAATCTCCGGAATGAGTGCGATTTGTAAAATGCCGGCTTTCCCATTGCGGTTGTTTTCACTAAAGAGCAAGAGCAACTCGCAATGGGAATACCACATCTTTTCTGCATACCATACGTTAAATATCACTTCTTTCTCTTAATACCGATGGATTTCAAAATCAATTTGACATTGAAATACAAATCGTTATTGAAAATAGTTACACTTAAATCCACGAAAGGTGGGCCCTGCGTAACTAGCTTGTTAATTAATTTCCTACTATGTATTTCAAATTGTTACCATCTCTTTCTCGCTCATGTGTTGATATGTGATAGATAATAAAGAATTTGTTTGAAATTGGTTAAAAAACTAGTGACGCAGGGCTCACCTTTCATGAATTCAACTGTGAAAGGTAACTATCGCAATAAAATCGTAATCTCCTCTTCAGAATATTATGCCCCCTGTTTTGAAACTTCGTAATTTAACTCTAAAAGAAAAGGAAACAAGGAACCCAAACTAAACCACTCGCTAGTTCGATGGCTTGACGAGACCAAAATACTTGTACATATTCCGATCCACGATCGACTGCGGTTATTACGTGTACTTAGCAATCCTTGAAGGAGAAAGCACACTCGCATTTATATAGCAATAAAATCAAGTCGATCGTGTATTAATAGGTTAGTTAATAACTCACGAATTAAAGAAATGGACATTGGTACCATCCCTTGAAGAGGAATTATTCACTAATTAAAAACTTGATTGATTAAATAACAGATAAGTTAACGCTTGAAAGTTAAATCGGTTGAAACTTCAAAGTCGTGAAAAGAACATACGAGATAACAAAGTTTTAAATTCAAATTATGGCATCCAGGAGAAAAGTGTATCTAGATTCAAACCAATGCGAGATCACACTAAATTCGGTTAATCGTTAGAAATAATACTTAAACATTTTTTTAAATTAGACTGACATGGATTTTTTGAAAAATGGCTACGACTTGCAAATTTTTAAGTGTAGTCTTAAGGAAAAGAAAACGAAGTGCATAAAGACTGCGCATTAAAAATGGTGCACCAATCGGAGCTCGTTAAACTAAACCAGCTGCGATAGCAGTGGTCCTCAATTAAACATTGCTTATTAACAGGTTGACTACAGATGACTAGTCAAACTAAGATTCAATTTTACGAATTTGCGTTCTATATGGGCTTTATGTTAATGCTATAGTATTGTACTCGGTACCCTTAAGTACTTAAGTACCATTGTAGTGTAGCAGAACCATTAAAAGTAAGGATGCGTAACTTTCAGAATTATTTATTTGCGATTATTCTAAAAATTGTGTGAAAAATTATACAAGCAAGCACTCAAGCCTCACGAATGACCCTTATTAGCCATCGTTGTTACCCCTAAATCCCTTCTACAATAGAAATTATCGCTCATTCGATTACCTAAAATCTAGTAATCTGATCCTAACTCCTTTCCCTCTATTCCTTTCCTTAATAAAACATCCACGATTAACACGAACACACCTGTAAAGTTTCCTTCCAAACAATGACCCTGTTATTAACAATTGTCATTAAATACATCAAACCTATAATTCAACGAATACAATTGTAATCTCAACTCCGGTCCTTTTAAAATTCCTGCAGTAAAGCAACTCGACCCTCTACTAAAACTCCTTTATCTTCTTTCTCCTGTACTTTAACTTGAATCTCTTTTTTATAAATTTCAACTCATTCTTGCCTATAAACTTCCTCAATCTCAACTTCTGCACTGCAACCGCTTCTTTGACTTGTTTCGCTACAATAACGTCAACTTCTTTCTGTATTCCAATCTCTTGCTGCTTAACTTGAACTTCGACAACTTCTTCAACTTCGTCTTGTATAAGATCTTCAACTGCTTCTTCTTGAACTTCAATTTCTTTATCTCCAGCTTCCTGTTTATAATTTTCAACTTCTACTTCTTCTTCTACACCATTTGGCTCTTTTACCTTTTCATTTCCTTCTTCATTGGGTTCCTTGTTACTGTATTCTAAATTATTATCTTTGCTCTTGCACTTCCTTCTGCTCTTCTATGTCACTCTGCACGTGGTTCAATTTCTGGCTCACCTTCTTCCTTCTTCTATGCATACCATCTACTATTTCTCTTATTTCGGCCCTCATTTACGTCATTTTCGTTTCCACCATGTCATGAAATCTCTTCCTTCTCGTCGAGTCCATTTTCTCATCCAATTTCTCATTCTGCATCTCTAATTCCACAAAATTCGCCCCAATTTCTTCACATTTTGCTTATGCTGCAAATCCATTTTGTGAAATACTCTTATTACTTCAGGCCTTTCTCTTATGGCCTTCATGATCTCAGCGATCCATTCTTCCTCGGTCTTCATCTTCATTAAGTGTTGTTTATTCTTTACCAAACGACGTTCTTCTTTATTCAAATCACTTTTTATTAAAAATCTACCTCTAATTAACAGTATCTATCTTTGTAATTAATCTTGCAAGAAATCCTAATTAAATTTAAATAGCAAAAACACACTCTGCAAACAGTTTCTATCCTAGAAATTCCTATAACCCCTTACTTCAACAATGCAAATTTCTTTTCCCTGGAAATTATCATGTCTAGGTACCAAGATAATTTTACCGTACAACCAAAACTACCCTAATTTGAATTTTACGAAATTTCGCATTTCCCTGATCTTCCCCACGTTGGGCGCCAACGGCCAACGTTAAACTTAACGTGCAGGTTATCTGTAGAACACGTGATTTTGCCCATATTAAATAATGCAAAATAATGTTTTTTGGCAGACAACCTGTTCGTTAAGGTTGATTTTTGATAAAGCTAAACCTCCTTCCAAAATCAACATAACTTTCTTTCGTCAACAGACAAACCGCAGCACGTAACTGCATCTATACAGACTATTCTGATTGTGATAAAACTGCTTCTTCAAATAACCAAAAAGGCCAATTACCTTAGGCTGACAAACTTCGTTTATACTTTTAATTTCTTATTTATCAGAACACCAGGTATTACGCAATTAAAAACAATTGTAAAATAAAAAAGACATTAAAATAACAAATTCTAAAAAAATAAACCAATTCTGTGCTTCTTTGTAATGAAATCCTGCAGATTTTAATGGAATAAAAACATTGGCATATACAGGGGGATCCGTTATTATCTTCGGTATTACGCGCCTAAATAGCAGCCACCTGACGCTTATGCAACAGTTTTCGCGATTACAAAGAACTGTTGTTAAATCCGGTACGTAAGCTTTTACTATCGGAATTCGCGAGGTGTTGAACAGTATTTTTTCTAGAATCTGAAAAGGTCTCCTATTCCGCAATAATATCATAAAAAAACCTCCCATTGTTGTTCGAATCAATTCATTATAACATTTACATTAACTATCATTGTGGTTTGTATGTACCTCCAAACACGAGGATAACCAGAAATCAACAACGTGCAGAACTTTTTCCATCAATTGAATTTCGACGATGAATATTTGTGATGTAAAATTGAAATTCTGTTTGAATTTAGAAACCAATGTTCAGGTAATTGAAAAAAAAGTCTTGAACCAATAATAGTCAGATTTCATGTAGAGCTAGGTACCCAAATGACAAATCATATTTTTTAACAAAATTGCGAGTTTACATAGAAACCCAAAAACTTGGTTTTGAGCAAGACAAGTTGAGCCCCTTGCAGCACTATAATTCGTAAGCGAAATTGGATTGTAAACAATTCTGCATATGAACGACAAGCCTCTTTGCTTCTAAACCTTATCGTTGATACGATATGAAATCAAAAGGATACTTACACGTATAGTCCTACGTTAATTTTGAACAATTCAAATATGCCCCATAGTGCCCCTTCACACTAGAGGCTACGGGACGCAGTGCATCGCCCAGTGTGAAGGGGCACATAACTTGTGGAATGTTTCCAAGCCTACAGACAGGTGGGGGGGGGGGGAGATCAAATGCGCATTACACCACAGTAAGATCATGAATTCATAGTATCAGGACAGGAAAGGAAAGTAAAATATAATAAAATATATAAAACTCTGACCAATGAACCAACGGGAGTAAAATAGACTGTGCTGCACGGTCTGGAACATTGAAAAGGGACGGTTAAACCTGGGTATTTATCTACTCCGTAAGGAAAAATTGGAGAAAGTGACACATCAGCCAATGAGATAACAGATTAGGTAAAATGAATCGTTCAACGTAAAACTTATGAAAATCTCATTTATTAATCACGCATAGTTATTTCTAAGTGCATGCTGTAATAGCCCTACTATTACCGTCTCACGTCTCTGATTTATAAAAAATAAATCTACATAAATAAACCGATTATATTGAAAAAAATAAAATAAATCCAAATTCCACTGCACTCACAATTGATTTCCTTTTTTATATTAAATCTTAATTACTCAATTACTTACTAGTCCAGTCAAATAAGAAAAAATAAAAACATTAATCGGTAAAGATCTGAATTTTGGTACCCATGTTCATTAGTGTTCCCTATTGGACATACTAAAAGTCCCCGTCAAAATCTGTTGCGCTCGAGGCGCCATCCTAGAAAAAAGGAGCACTTCTTCAGTTTCTTGCCTATATATCGGCAACAATTATTGATACGGAAAAATAGTTCAGATAAAAAATATAGTTCATTAAATTGCCCACAAAAAAGCATATTAACATTTTTTTGTATGCCCAATACTTTAGCTATAATCCGACATCGAATAGGGAATCAAGTATCCTGAGCTCTCGAAACAGTCGCGCA